CGGTAGGCACACCCTTTTTTTTTTTTTCATTCTGCCACCTACAGCAAGTCAAAGTATTTGAGGTTTTATGGATTTCACTAATTATGCTAATTTAGTGTTAAACACAGAAAAAAAAAGTGGGTTACTGATTCTTAATGAAAAATATATACATGTGAAAAAAAATATGTCATCTGAATTTATCAACATAAAAAAAATTAACAAACTTCATCTAGATTGAACATAATTATTGCAGGGACAAATAAAAATAATTAAGTTCTAATATCACTCTTAGAAAATTAGAACTAATATTAATATATAAGTAATAGAATAAAATATTTATTTTTTTGCTCATAAAAAATAATTATTAATATTTTCTATTTTTTTTTAAATACTATTAAAATTTTGAATAATCTTCAAATCTCAAAATTTAATTCTGCTTATGATTTAACTTAACGTAATAGAGATAATAGTAATGTTTTTTTTATAATATTATCTATTTTTTTAAGTAAACAGAAACATTTTTTTTTCTTCTTTATATACTCACTAAAAAATCATAATTTTTTTAAAAAAATATTTTTATCTTATAAACTTACGAAAGATCCTATATTTTTATAATATATTGCGGACATTTTTAATTTTATACAACATAAAGAAATACAAAACTTTTGTTTTGGCTTATTTTTCTTCTTATAGATTTTGTTTTTTTAATTTCAATATCAACATATTGTTCAACCAAATTAATAGCTTGTAGACGACAAATTTTTTTTAAAATTGGTTATAACAAATACTTAATAATTTCTTATTAAAAGTGCTTTATTGAAAAATTATTTTATCAAAACTTTTATACTTAGAGCAAAAATTACAGTCATTGGCTGTATTTGTTTAACCATATAATGATATTGTCAATTTTTCATGAGACAATATCATGGAAATTATTTAATTATTTAACGAGTGAATAGTAATCAATAACATCAAATTTTTATATATATATATATATATATTATAGGGTATGTTGTCTTTAACATAAATAAATTAGAATTAGTCCGTCCATTGCTTCCAAGAAGTCCACGAAGTAAAGTTGCAATTATATTAATAACTTCACTTGTTTTAATTTAATTAATACAAACACAAAGACCGCTCTAATTCAATTTTCTACATTTAATCCCTTATCTAAATTGAAGAACGGTCCAAGAAACAACCATACCTTATTTTAATCACGAATCTTTTATTAATCCCACATGTAATAAACCACCATTAATATTTAATTACTAACTTGTGTTTCTCGTTTTTGTCTGGGAAACTAATCCCCTTTTTCATTATTTAAATAAATAGATAACCCATTTTTCTTTTTAAAACCCCCCTTCGAATTAGGATTCTCAATTCAAGTTTCAACCATAAGAAAATCATAAATTAATAACTACTAGTTTTTATAATTAATTTTAAATTAGCAAATAACAACAATATCTATTTAATTAATAAACAAAATATAACCAAAAAAAAAGCACGCAGCAAAGTCGGTTCTATACAAATTCCTGATTGGACCGATTCGCCCCAACCGGGTTACGTGCATTGAATTAGTGACGCCTCCAAATTACACGCGACACGTTTGCCCTGACGTCAGCGCATGTCGTCTTTCTCTAATGACACATGACACGTTTGGCTGGCTCAGCTATGCGAGGATTCACAACAAGGGAAATGAAGTACGTGCCACGTGTCCGAAAGAGAATGACGTGTCGAATTTTCCTTGATTTACGGCAGTGTAATTGAAAATAGTGACACGTCAGATCCAGGTAAGGCTTTTCCGATTGCCAAGAGCCGTTTATTATAAGTCCGACCTTATTTTAGGCTGACAAGGTGGCTTATCTCTTCCACGTCAGCTCAAAAAGATCGTCCACATAATCCAAGATATTAATTAAATTTTTTTAAAAAGTGCAAAACTTAAAATTAGATACTAAATATTTTAACAGTCCAATCTTATCCACGCGCGTAACTGTGTTGCTTTTGGGGCACAAAATAATCTCGGTATTTTAGTTAATTACTGTATAAGATTAATCATATAAATTTTATATAATATGATCTGATTAATTTCCATGGAAGTTTCCAATATGATTAGAAAGTCTTCAAGTTATCCAGGGGAATCGCATACTTCGCTTGACCACGCATCAGAGAAAATGAACTTTAGTGGTGACACGCGCCTGTGGAAGCGCTTGGGGGCGATTAACAACTGACCATTAATTTTGTTTGGAAACACGTTTGTCTTCCTCGCGGTTGAACTTGGCTATAAATCCACACACAAACCAAACGTTTTGCTCTCGTTCAGAAATCACTCACGGCCATGGAAGTAATCTACAACACAACAAACTCCACCGCCGCTTACCTCTCCGCCTATTCGCCGACGTCCACCGACGTCCTCTCCCCTGAATCGCCGGAACCTGATCTTCGGATCCTCACATCCGGTGGTCTTCGCATCCCGGCCCACTCTAGCGTCCTGGTATACATTGAAACTCTTTTTCTTTATCACATTACTAGAATTTCCGAATACATTGTGTTTCTGAGCTTTTCTTTTCTTTTCTTTGTTTTGCTCGGATGATTGAGATCTAACGTGATTTCCGTTTTTTTTTTTTTGGTTGTTGGATTAATGGAGCTGTAGGCGTCAGTGTCGCCGGTGCTGCAAAACGTTATAGAAAGGCCGGGCAAGCGCCGGAGCTCCGAGAATGTCATCCCGATTCTCGGTGTTCCATGCGACGCCGTTTCCGCCTTCGTTGGATTCCTCTACTCCTCAAGGTCAGTATATATGTGTGTGTGTGTGTGTATATATATATATATATACGTATATCCTTAATTATCACACAACACCTCATCTTCTGTCCAATTTGACGGCTCTCGATCTGCATCGATCAAAATAAGAAATTAAAAGAGAAAGAAAAGACGGAATTATTTATATACAAAAAAGTATTGAATGGTTAATAATTAGAGTTGGGGGAAGATTACATGAAATGAAGCTGATGGCAGGTGCTCGGAGGAACAGATTGACAAGTACGGGATTCATATGCTGGCGCTGTCTCATGTATATCTGGTTCCAAAACTGAAGCAGAGGTGCATAAGGGGAGTTGGCCAACGGTTGAAGATCGATAACGTGATAGACGTGCTTCAACTCGCCAGACTCTGCGATGCACCAGATCTTTACCTCAAGTGTGTGAAGCTGGTCTCCACTAATTTCAAGGCAGTGGAGAACACAGAGGGATGGAAGTTCTTGCAAGACCACGACCCCTGGCTCGAACTCGAGATCCTCCAATTCATCGATGAGGATGAATCTGTGAGTTGTTGAGCTTTCTCCTGCAATCGGTTCATAATATTTTGTTTTGGTGCCGAGAAAACTATAAGAAAAAAATTTGATGTTAACAGAGGAAAAAGAAAAGGAGGAGGCAGAGAGGGGAGCAGGAGCTGTACGTTCAGCTAGGCGATGCAATGGAGTGTTTGGAGCACATTTGCCGAGAGGGTTGTACTAGTGTGGGACCGTGCGACATGGAGCCCACAAAACAGAGATTACCGTGCAGCAAATTCTCGACGTGCCAAGGCGTGCAGCAGCTGATCAGACACTTCGCCACCTGCAAGAAGAGGGTCAATGGTGGGTGCTTGAGGTGTAAGCGGATGTGGCAGCTTTTTAAACTCCACTCCTCTATCTGCGACCAACTCGATATTTGCAGAGTCCCACTTTGCCGGTAATCAATTTTACTTAATGAATTTAAACATTTTTTTATTTAGGTTAATAGTGTGTCGGAATGATTGGTCCAAGGCTATTATGTTTTATTTTTATTAGAAATTAATTTCTCATGAGTCCAAATATAAAACAATAGCTTTTAGAAGGATAATGCTTCCGACTGAGAAGGATAGAGTATTATTGGTTAGAAATGTTGAATTTCCACCTAAAAAACAAAAGAATTTTAAGAGAGAAAATGATGTGACAGACATAAGAAATTTTGAAAATTTTGAAAATTCAATTTTAACTACAATTGATTGGTGGATAGACACAAAATATCTTGGCAATTTAATTAATTACATCCTCTAGTGAGGCTGGTATAAAGCTTTACATGGGAGGGACACACACCCCCAACTCTTCTACCAATTGGAACATGGTTGTTGTCGTGATTCAATCATAACATAATATGATATTTAATTTGGATGTTTCTAAATGGATTATCAAACATTCAATGTATACACGTACGTGGGTTTTTTTTTTTCTTTTAGTTGATAACCACTCACTTTGTAATTACGTTTATAATTCTGAAACTGTTGTAATGAGTTTCCATAAAAATCTGAATGGTGGGTCTAATGTTTTATTTGATAATATCTTAATCTAAATATTAATTGGGTGGATGAATCATCAAATGTGACAGGCAATTCAAATTAAGAGCACATCAGGATAAGAAAGGTGATGATGGGAGGTGGAGGCTGCTGGCGAAGAAAGTGGTATCAGCCAAAGCCATGTCTTCCTTTGTCCTTCTCCACCACAAACAAATGTAATTTAGAACCTTCAATTCTTTTATTTTGTGTGTCTCCAGTCCTTTGTAAACTAATGAAGGTTTTTTTGTCTTTTTATATTTTTGGTTGGTTCTTTCTGAAACCCCATTTTAGAAAAGAGGAACCTCCATGTAATATATATATATGTATACACGCAATATATTATGGGGTTGAGTCTGTTAAGGAAAATGTAATATAAGCATGGAGTGGTTGCTTTTATTTCCAAAAAATCTCCCTTTCATATCGTGTGTAAATCACAGACTGTAAAGTAGGATATTCAATTGCTTAATGAAATTTTATGGGGTGTTCAAAAAGTAATCAAGAGATATATTTAAAATTTGTATAAAATTCCAAAAAATAACTGAAATTAAAGGTTCTAATTTTCAAATATATTAAGATATTCTACATTATCAATACAAATTATGTGGTAATAACCCAATTTATTATTTTTATTTTCAATTTGTGTTGTATATTTTCAATTTATTATAATTAATAAACATATATCACTTATTTAACAAAAATATGAATTTATTAGAAAATTGATATTTTTTATAATATTTACCTTTATTTAATTGCATATATTATGTTATTTTATGCAAAATCAATTACCAAACATGTAACGTCCCGTTTTTTTTTTCCACTTCTAATGACGTAATTAAAACAAAACAATTCCATGATCAAATCAATTATGCATATAAAAATATTATCACGATCTCTAATTCAAAGTGAAGATAAACCTGCAATCATATATGATGCATCACGCAAAGTACAACCGTATATACCATCTACACTACTATCAACTTTTACACACTCAATTTTACCAAAACAGAAATTCTTTATCCCGTCGCTCTATACACTAAGTTCGGACACCCGCAACTCCGATTCGGACTCTGTTTCTACATCATCTGTAAATAATAAAGAGTGAGTTTATATGACTCAGTACAATAAAAATTAATTTACATGTATGATATACAACAATATAAAACCCAATATTTCCACACGTACTTCATTACTTAACTTAAGCCCTACCTTATTATCATCATGGGACTACTCATGACTAAAACTTACCCCAGTATCTCAACTATCATACCTATCAGGTGTGACCGTCTCCCAACGCCACCCCAAGCGTACAAATATTTTCACCCATCACCAATATCGGCGACCATCATCCACCTTTCGACCCCTAACAAGCCACACACACACGTTATTATCATTCTCTCTCGTCACCAACATCGGCAACCATTATTTACCTCTCGACCACTAACAGGCCACACACACACACTATTATCATTCTCTCTCGTCACCAACATCGGCGACCATTATGTAACTCTCGACCCCTAACAGGCCACACACACACTCTATTATTATTCTCTCTTGTCACCAACATCGGCGACCATTACCTACCTCTCGACCCCTAACAGGCCACACACACACTCTATTATCATTCTCTCTCATCACCAACATCGGCGACCATTATCTACCTCTCGATCCCTAACAGGCCACACACACACATAGTTATTATTCTCTCCCGTCACCAACATCAGCTACCCAACCCCTGTCCGTCAGGATCTCCCGACCAACACCACTATCGGTGATCAACCTACTCCCTCTAGTCGTGACCACCAATGTCGGCGTCCCCCTATAGTATACTCAGTAACATTTAACAAGCACATAACAACAACTTTCCCTTGCCAACCACTACTTTACAGCAACCTATATGTAATTCCCACCGTACATACTTCACGGATCTCCCTTTCCTACTCTCTAATTTTCCAAACCTACTCCCTTTAGTAGTGACAACCAATGTCGGCGTCCCCCTATAGAACACATAGTAACATTTAACAAGCACACAACAGCAAATTCCGCTTGCCAACCTACTAATTTACAGCAACCTATAAGTAATTCCCACCATACACA